GCCTTGGAAAGCGGCTCGGAGGACCGCCCCGTTTCGGATGCCGCCCGTCGTGGGCTTGGCTGGGAGCAGGAGATGAGTCACCCCAGCAGCGGCTTTTCCTTGCACAGCCATGGCAGAGACAGATCCATTTTCCTCTTTGCCGGCGCTGTGCGGTGCCTGGCTGAAGGGAGGGCCACCCTCTTCCCTGCGAGCAGCTCGCTGTTAGGGAGCCCCGCAGCCTTGGCCCATGCCCTCAAACGCTTGGATCTGCTGGTGGAGTTTCGGTGTTGGCTCAAAGCACCGACGTCCATCCCATTCCCATTTTTCTGGTTTGCTCCAGGCATGTGTCTGGGTCCCTTCAGCATCCACCCCGGTGAGCAGCAAGGCTGTTGCCGACAGAGTGTCGGTGAGCTCCCGCGTTCGGCGCTTTCCCCGCAGCTCCTGAGCTGCAGGTGCCGAAGTTGCTCCTGCCCCAGAGGCTCCAGGGTGGGGTCGGTCAGTCTGGGGGTGCTGGGACCCGTGCCCTGAGCAGAAAGGGTTGGAAGAGCACACGGTCCCATCCCAGCCTGGGATTAATCAGCCCGGTTTGGTTTTGACACAAGCTGCGCTTGTGGTCCTGCAGTGCTGGTGCAGAGCTCCCTTGGGAGATACTTGCGGGCTGGACCACGGTGTAGAAGCAGAAAACTGCTCCTGGCTCTGCCAATGACTCCTCTATCCCTCTTGTTTTGGCCTCCAGGATGACATGACCGACTCCCTGCGGGATTACACCAACCTGCCTGAGGCTGCGCCCCTGCTCACCATCCTGGACATGTCAGCCCGGGCCAAGTACGTGATGGATGTGGAGGAGATCACGCCCGAGATTGTGGAAGCCTTTGTCAGCGACTTTCTAGCAGACAAGCTAAAACCCGAGCCCATCTAAGGGGGCTTCTGCGCCAACAGACATTATTTAAAACCAGGTCTCTCTTCCGCCGCTCGTGGATTCTCCAGCGTGTCCTCACGCCCGACCCAGTATCCAACCTTCTTGTGGTGCCTTGTTTTACGCAGTGAATCCTTCTCCTAAGCAAGCTCCTTGAGATGCACTTTCAGCAGGGAGTCGTTGGCGTTTGGAGACTTCGCTTGTGCTTCATGGTGATATATTCTCTAATAACCAGGCCAGAACTGTTACCGTATCGTTATTTTATACACGGCACTAGCTAGCAGGCAAATCTTTTTGCATGGTGTTCTTCCCAACGTATGCATCAGGCAGTGGATGGGGTTCTTGGGGTTCTTTTCTTCTCCTTCTCCCCCTTCTTTCCTTTCCTACCACCCCTGCTGACTAAGTGACTTTAAGGAAGCAATAAGGAAACTGTCTCCTTTGCCCCCAGCCCGTCCTTTCCAACGCCGGTGCCCTGACGAGGCCGAGACAAAGTCTTAACTGCTGACAACCTCTGAAAGGCCACGGCGCAGCC